GGACGCCATCTAAACGCCATCTAAACGCCATCTAAACGCCATCTAAACGCCATCTAAACGCCATCCGGACATTAGCAGGACACCAATCGGACACTAGTCGGCGCCAATTGGACGCCATCTAAACGCCAATCGAACGCCAAGCGGACGCCATCTGGACGAGAGCCGGGGCACTAGTAGGACGCCATCCGGAGACCATCTTGACACTAGCTGGACACTAGTCGGACGCCATTTGGACGCCATCAGCACGCCATCAGCACGCCATCTAAACGCTATCGGGACGCCATCAGGACGCCATCGCCACGAGAACCAGACACTAACTGGACATTAGCTGGACGCAATTCGGACGCCAGTCGGACGCCACCACCACATCAGCACGCCATCCGTACACTAGCTGGACGCCATCCAGACGCCATCAGCACGCCATTTGGACACTAGCCGCACGCCATTTGGACACTAGCTGGACGCCATCCGAAAACTAGCCGGACGCCATCTGGACACTAATCAGACGCAATTCGGACGCCATCAGCACGCCATCCGGACACTAATCAGACGCCATCCGGACGCCATCTTGACACTAGCTGGACTCCAATCGGACACTAGTCGGACGCCAATTGGACGCCATCTAAACGCCATCTAAACGCCATCCGGACGCCATTAGGACACTAATCGGACGCCATCCGGACGCCATCTTGACACTAGCTGGACGACATTTGGATGCCAGTCGGACGCCATCCGGACATTAGCAGAACTCCAATCGGACACTAGTCGAACGCCAATCGAACGCCAATCGGACGCCAATCGAACGCCAATCGAACGCCAATCGAACGCCAATCGGATGCCAATCGGACGCCAATCGGACGCCAATCAGACGCCATCCGGACGCCATCCGGACGCCATCTTGACACTAGCTGGACACCATTTGGACGCCAGTCGGACGCCATCACCAAGCCATCCGGACATTAGCAGAACTCCAATCGGACGCCAATCGGACGCCATCAGCACGCCATCCGGACACTAGCAGGACACTAATCGGACACTAGTCGGACGCCATCTAAACGCCATCCGGACGCCATCCGGACGCCATCCGGACACTAATCGGATACTAATCGGACGCCATCTGAACACTAACTGGACACCATCTTGACACTAGCTGGACACCATCTTGACACTAGCTGGACACTAGCTGGACGCCATTTGGACGCCATCCGGACGCCATCCAGACGCCATCTTGACACTAGCTGGACGCCAGTCGGACGCCATCTAAACGCCAATCGAACGCCAATCGAACGCCAATCGGACGCCAATCGAACGCCAATCGGACGCCAATCGAACGCCATCTTGACACTAGCCCTACGCCATCTGGACGCAATCCTCCATCAGAACACTAGCTGGACGCCATTTGGACACCAGTCGGACGCCATCTTGACACTAGTCATTCGGACTAAACGCCATTCGCACGCCATCCGGACGCCATCCGGACGCCATTTGGACACCAGTCGGACGCCATCTTGACACTAGCCGGACGCAATCCGTACGTCAGTCGCACGCCATCCGGACACTAGTCGGACGCCATCTAAACGCCATCTAAACGCCATCCGGACATTAGCAGGACGCCATCCGGACGCAATCCTCCATCCACTAGCTGGACGCCATTTGGACACCAGTCGGACGCCATCTAAACGCCATCCGGACGCCCTCCGGACGCCCTCTGACCTCTGACCCCTGACCCGTGAGGCGGTGCGTTTCCAGGCGGGCGGCGGCCCCGGGGGGTGGAGGCGGGGGGGGGCAGCATGGACGCCGCTCTGCTCCTGATGCTGGGAGCCGCCATGATGGTCGTCCAGCAACACGCAGGTGAGACCGGATAGATAGATGGATAGATAGATAGATAGATAGATAGATAGATAGATAGATAGATAGAT